TTTCACCTTAACTTTAAGAGCTAATCATCCAGTGAGTCTCACCTTTGGAGCTGGACTCGGTTATCTGCAGGGCGATGCTGTAGGAGTTGACTGCAAACGAAAAGTCTCCCCTCTGGTAGTGCGCGTTTCCCCTCTCCCTCTTGTGGCTGGCCAGGGCGATCCTCTCCGCGGGGGGGGAGGAGCTCCAGGTCGGGACCCTCAGCGGCCTCCAGAAGTTCCACTTCTAAAGACAGATCAGCACCTGGAGGCACGCCAGGATCAAGACTGTGGAGGAAACCACACATGGGCAAAATGAGCCGTTATTAGATCCACGTTATATGGATGTAAATGCCAATTCTGAAATGAACTCAGCTATTTGATGTTTAGTAAGTGCATGAGAGGCTTCTGCTCCAGCCTTAGTAGCTCTTCTCTAAGTATTTACAGGAACTTAGAAGGATAGTGCAAAGTACCATGAATCATGATACGGGAAAAGAGTCGGGCAATAAAGGGCTCAGACTGACTTGGTAAATACTGTTTACCACATATAAATAAGCCAGAAAGCCTCTTTCCTGCTCCACACCAGCAGGAGAGAGGCTAGAGATTCTCCATTAGTTTGCTCTATATCGTCCACAATGTCTTTCCCAGCCGATTTATTTCTGTTCATTTGGCAATATTCTTAATTTACAAGTAAAATAAAAAACATTCCAGGTACAAATGAGAAAACAAGTAAGTATCTCTGTCAGACAAGGCCTTTCCAACCCTGTGGGGGGCATAAAAGCTCCTGTTTTCTCAAGCAAAGTGTTAATTAAAAACTAAGAAGGCAGGCTATAGTTTGCAATCGGCTTATAAAGAAAGTCTACTTGGTAGCTGGACTTACAGGAGAAATGACACAATTAGGCACCTACGGCTGCCCACTTGATCTGTGTGTCTGCTTTGCTAACATTATGGCCAAATGCTCGGGTCATTAGTGAGATACGCCGGCTGGCCCTGTGCTGGTAGGTGACTGATTGACTGATACTACCATTTATTTCCACAGGTAATCTAGGGCAAAGGCAGTTACAAGATACCTTTACAAAGACGCTGGGCTTATGAAAGCAAACAGCCTAGGGAGATGAATATAAATGGGAAAATATCCATGCAATAAGCTTATTTAGTCATGGTTTGAGTTGTCCTTATTAAGAAGTTAGCCTTCTGAGACCCACGACAGGGTGAGCCACATGCAGACGCTAGCTTTAGCTTAAAAGCTAGAAAAACATGCTCTGTTTCTGTGACAGTGGAGGCTGCTCAGCTAACAAATAATGGCAAATAAGAGGCCCCAAACCATTGCTAAACTTCTGTTTCCAGCAGCAGTTGTGCAACATTATAACGTGCATATCGATAATTCTACATTAAGAAAGAGAAGCTGATAGGAGGGGAAAAAATTTGCATATATTTGACTGAAATTTTTTGTGTAATTCAGTGGATTATAACTGGGAAAGTGTGTTTTTCAGTAACAAAATGAGAAAAAAATCAGAGAATAAGCAACAGGAACAATAATAATAATAATAATAGTGAATAATGTAACAGATGTTCAGAACAAAGCGTAAAAAAAAGGACTATTTTCTCTGCACATTCAATCTCTGATTTTCAGCTCAGATCTGTTCATTTCAGACTTCAGTGTGATCATTATTAAGTCCAACGCCTGGCTGTCGTCCATCGTGTTTAGGAGAGACGTCCACCTACACAGAATTATGACGAATGCAGATGGAGACTGAAGTAGAAGTCTCATGAATCCAAATCTTAATCTGAAATGGCCCAAATGAGCCCAGAAAAAACTATTTTAACCACATTGGACGTGCAGCCTGAGCCTAGTCTTGTTTCTCCATTATGAGTGAATTGACATCATCAAACATGTTAGCTACTTTAAACTTATTTTAACCCTGTAATGCCAAATGTATCATATTTGATACATACGGTTTGTGAAATGTTTTGCATCTGACTCCTTTTGCATAATTTAATGGTAAAAACTTTGCACAAAATCCTATTGTACACAATCAGATATACCTGATAACAGGGGGCAGAAGACTACACAAAAATAATCTTGACTTATCGCATAGTAATAAATTATTAATATTAAAAATGTATTTGTTTTTTCGTTTTACATCATTTGTTAAAAGGCTTCAAACCAAAAAAGAGTCATTTTCAGTTTTTTTTTCATTGTTGGATCGGGCTTTAAAGGGTTAATTTAGTAAAAACACTGAATAAGTAATGCTTCTAAAACAAGCTTTAACCGAATACAATAATATTTGTGCCAAACAGCTCTCAAACCAACTTTCCCAGCCTTTCCTACCTTCCCCTGGCACCATACGCGTATTTAGCATCAGTCTGGACGAGAGCCTTTTCTCCCGTTTCCATGAGCTGCACGGTCAGATCCAGGGCCTGATGGGAGGAGGGAAAACATTTACTGTAGCAGTGGAAATCTGGACAGAGTTAAAGAATAAAGACTGAAAGTCACATTTACCTGAATAACATCACCGTCTCCCAAAGTGAAGGCCAAACTCTGCTGATCCTCAACGAGAGTCCCATCCATCAGATGTGTTTTCAGATTAATCTTCACATTTTGTCCTTTCTGAGGTCGACTGTCTCGCCCCTTTCCAGCATCCAAGACTTTTTTCTTCAGGAGGTTATTACCTGCAGACAGACTCGTGTTTAATTATGACAAATGATCCCTTTAGGGTGACTTTGGTGCAGATATTTGCCACACCAGGAGTTTGGCAACAAGGCCACCCTCACTTTTTTTAGGCGTAAACATAACAAGCTTAACTGGCAATATTGATCCAAATTCAGAGGTTAGAATTGGATATGCTTTCTTGAAATTCTTAATAAATATTAATGCATCCATTCGGTCGTGTTATTGTTCTTTTTGGGCATACCTAAGACATCTAGCCATTCATCCACTGGATCGGATGGGTCTGGTTCTTCATCGGCTGTTTTTGTATCCGTGTCTTTTTTTTCCTTCCCACCACCTGCATCTTCTAGAGGGGGAGGTTCGTCGTCAATGTCTTCTTCATCTAAAACCTCAAAGTCTTCCCCACTGTCCAGCAGCGAGGTTTGTCCACTCTTCTTGGCAGATGGGACACTGTCATGGCCATCCGAGGCGTCCATATTCTCCATTTTTTTGGTCATTACAACATCACTGATAATAAAAAAGACAACAACAAAAATTCAGCTGTGCACTCTTAAGATAAATCTTTCTTTGATATCAATCTAAATCACAGAGTAGACACACATCCGGGGTAGTAAGCTGTTGTTGTGCAAACAGTATCTGGATCATCTACATAACTGTCATCAAAACCGTCAATAAACTATTAAATACTGTTATCATTTATGGATTATTCCACAGCACGAACCGACACGTTACTAATTTAACCTGGTACTTTATTTTCAAGCCATTGTCTAGTCATGATTCCAGAAGTTTTATATAAGTTATCCTGCTGCTAAGTCCTAAAATGGCTAGCATGCTAATGCTAGCAGCGTAGCAAAACACAGTAACATTAGCAGCACTTTAGCTAGGTGACGTAGCTAGCATGCTAACATCACTTTTAAGGGAACAGTAAGACAACATTTTTATCTTCACAACGACAAAGAAACAACTTCACGAACTCGACATCCCGATAGTAAATCTAAATGCTGTGAGGTTGACATCTTTAAATCACGACAAAGTGAATAATACCTCTACACAGCCTTATTTTTCCCAGCCAGGGCTCCTGTTTGCAGCTTATCGCGGTGAAGTCAGTTTGCAGTTGGTATGTGGAAGAACAGTGGGAGGAGTTAGGACTGGTGCGTAACCAATGTCAGACTGACTTCGCACGTCCTCAGTCAACAGGCAGTTAACCTTGAGCTCTGGCACATACTGAACGTCTGCGGCCTCAATTATAATTTACTCCGATTATTTTAAGTTAAACGGTATATTTAGGCAATAAAAAGCTGTTGAAGTGATAATGGAATCAAAAGAAAAATGTTAACCATAGCCATTAAATTGTCCGCTCCAGACCTTTTTAATAAGAAGGCCCAATATCTTTTAAACTTCTCTCCATAAAGATGTTTCTGTTTATCTCATTTACTGGTTCATTTAGATTGATAGATTCATATAGATTTATGATTTGGGTAATTGTCCTGCTGAATGCCTCAGACATGTCCCTCCAACCAGGGCCTATTTGCCAAATAATAATTGAGTTAAGAGGGTATATATTACTATATTTTGTCAAGAGCACTTGACTTACCATAGTGAATGAAAAAGTGGAAAAAAGAGCCCCCCGTATGCAGTTAAATCATGATTATTTTATTAACCCATGATCAATACTTATACTGGTCTATTTTAAATTATGTCCAAATATAATTCAGACTAAACTTTAGTGATCAAATTTCTAATTATACAAGGATTAAAATTTATACTAGAATTAATAACCGCCCTGCCTCTAAGATGTTGTCAAATGTGCTTTTCAAAGGTTTAACATGATTAAATGGATATCAGTTCTCATGTGTGCAGATGTATCTTAAATATTTGCTCAGAGGAAGAGATTCAAACAACAGGGTAAAAATCAAATGACATTTATTATTGATGCATCGTTTTCTTTTTTGATAAGCAAATTATCTGTTTTTCTTTCAGTCTAAAGAAACTTTACAATATAAAGAAACATACAAAGAACATCTTTATTACCTACACAAGACGCCTAAAGTCCCTAAGACAAGATTCTCAACTACCCTACCATGAAATACAAAGCAAACCCAAGAGACAGACTGCTTCATATTGAATACTGCCGTGTCATCAGAGAGGACCGTGAACGGTACAGGAGAATCATTTATATCCCTCTCCCCCAGAGTCAATATTACCCCCCCTCCCGACCAGCCAATCTCCCTAATGGTACAGTATTATACATCACAATAGAAGTACAGAGATGGCCAACGATCAATATACACAGAGGACTGAGGGAGGATCAGTGAGAGCGCTTCGAACTATACAACGCTATTACAGGAGTGAATAGCAAAGGACACACATTTCCCCACACGCGTTACTTTTTTCACCTCTCCTTAATTTAAAATGAGATTTTCCGAAGCATTTTCCCCCCCTTCTAAAAGTGTCCTTAAAATCGATAAAAATCCTTCATATTAAAAACAGTAATGCGAGGTCACATGTTCTTTCGGGAGAAGATGCCCTTTGGAAAACGTATTCACATTATATTTTCCTTT